AAGGATACCCCACCCCCTTTACTAGTACACTGCACTTGTGGAATGTATCACTAGTGGCCTCAAGTAAGACTCTGAGGGCCCCTCTTGCCCCATGATGTCTAGAACCCAAAAGGACATTAACCTCTTGAAGGGTAGAGAGGTCTCCAGGTACTCCCTTCAAATGGAACATGTGAGCTGGGCCTTGTTATCTAGGACTATGCAGACTAGGAGGCCACTGTATGGGGACCGGGCTGGCTGGCGGGGTCAGCAGGATGCATGGCCCTGAGGACACAGGCCTGATGGCCCTGAGAGATTGGAGCTGCCTGGAGGCAGGGAGACCCAGCCTATCCTCAGACGTGAGGCCAGAAGGCCCAGAGACTTGGGAGGCATCAGTCACCCACAACAGCTCCCATGGAAGCCCCAGGCAGCAGCTGCATCAGCTCCAGGGGAAACTGACAGTCACTGTGGCAGCTGCGGCCTGGCCAGGCTCCCACCCACCCTTCAGAGCAACTCTATGCTGCAGCTTTGTAGGAAGACAATGTGTCAGCAACAGGGAGCCACCAGGAAATGGCAGCTCAGAGCACAGGTCCAGGTTCCCTGGGGCTGCTGCTCCCTACTGAAGCCCAGCCACCAGATGGGCACAGAGACAACCCTGGAGCTGCCTTACCTCTGGCCTGGAAGACTGTGTTCATCCAGCTGTAACCCTTCATCACTCTGTGCAAAGGACAGCGGGGCCTGAATCCACAGAGCACACATCTGGGGAAGATCAGTGAACTGTGTGGCCAGGGCCCAGTCCTAGTGCCTCTGGGCAGACCGGGTAGCCTCTCCCATGTCAGCTGCATCCTGCATGCTGAGTTAGGGCCCTGTGGCAGTGCTGTTCATTCACAACGCATGCTCTCCTCTAACAGACACTCCATGGTCTCCCCGCAGCTCTGGGACTCAAGTCTCCCTACTGCAAAGTTGGGATCTCCCCATTGTCCTTCTACATCCCTGTGCCATCCTGAGCACAAGGGCTTGCTGCCTGCCCTACCACCTCCCACTCGCTGAGCCATGGCAGTTTCCTTAATGAAGAGTAAATGTCACTCTTTGAGTGCAGAGTTACTGGGCAGGGCTTTGGGTGGTGCCCAGAACCTCTGTACCCACACTCGGGAGTCGCAGCCCTGGTCCAGGCGGTCCTGCGAAGCAGAAGGCACTTCCGGGCTACACCTGCACCTGTGCACTGCATTCTGTTCCTAGCCACATTTGGAATCCAGCCAACAGCCCAGAGCCTCCATCAGCATGCCACTGCTGGGGAGGGAGCCGGCTCAGGCTGGGAGCAGGAAGGGGGACATGGTTCCTTTCCATCCTGCTGAGTGACTGCGGTGGCAACTGCTCAGACTGACTCACTTCCTCCTCCACAGCCTGAGAGGCTGAGTGATCAATGCCCTGGCTCACTCTGCAGCATCGAAGCACTTACTGTTCAAATGGCTTGCCCATCTTAGGAAGACATCAAGGCCCAGACTCAGCGTGTAAGTAAAGGAGGAGGAGGGAGGGAGGGAGGCCTCTCCTCAGCCTCCCTTCTGTTCCTTCTCACCCTGTGAAAAACGCCCTGAATTCAGGGTCTCTACTCCACCCCATCCTGCGCAGGGCACATGTGCCACAAGGAAAAAGAGCTCGACTTGGGGAAGCTGAGGCAGGAGGATCACAAGTTCAAGGTATAGCTAAACTGCAGAGCGAGTTCAAAGCCAGTCTCGGAAACATAGCAAGACACTGTCCTAATACAAAATATAAAATGGGCTGAAGATATGGTGCAGTGGCAGAGCAGTGGGCTAGCATCCATGAGGCCATAGGCTCAGTCACAAAACAGAGCAGTGGGCTAGCATCCATGAGGCCATAGGCTCAGACACAAAACAAGAGGGCAGTGTGTGATGCCTGGGCAGTGCAGAGGCTCAACAGGAAAGGGTTTTCTCCTGGTACAGGCCAGCCTCAGACGCTGACATGAGAATCTGACCACAAAGTGAGGTCACACCGGCAGGAAGGGACACTACCACAGAAAGTCTCCAGGCTCCCTTGGCCTCTACGCCGGGCTCCAGTCAAGAAGACAGCTCAGAAGAGGGATCTGGGACAGGGCTGTCCAAAGGTGGACAGACACTCTACCAGGTATAAAAGGCTCTAAAAGATCCACAGAGTGAGTAAGAAACCCCAGGGTAAGAACTGTGGCATCAAAGTGAGGTGTGGATCCAGGGGGCTGTGGCCGGGCAGCAACACGCATCTGGGTCAACAGAACCAAAACTTCCCCTCCAGCCACGCAGCTCCCATCCAGGCCCCAGGTGGGTTCAGGCTGGGGATCTAGAATGTGTTGTTGGAGGTTAGGGGTCTTTGATGATCGAGGAGCCATGGTTAAGTGTGCAGCATTCGCTTTCCTTCAACCGCTTGGCAACACTGCCCATTGGCCTATGCCAAGCACCACTATAGGGCTGCAACAGGGGCAAGGAAGGTCAGATTCAGATAACGAGCAAGGACTGGGCTGGCTGGCAGAGCTGGTCAGAGCCTAGGAGAGGGAGCGGTCTGGGACTCGAGAAACAGGCTTTGTGCTCCTGTGCCTGTAGGAAGGTCCCAGGAAATCCTAAGCAATGAAATGGGGCATGATCCGATTTCCACCCTTGAAGGACCAGTTGACCTTACAGTAGAGAATGAAGGCATGGAGGGGTGAGTGCGGGAAGAGGGGCTTCACGGGAGTAAGTCATGTTGCTCTCTGCTGTGATGACAGATGCATTCACGGTGGTTGGAGAAACTGGTTACTCAGTCTCCACCACCAAAGGCACCTGCCAAGTGGTTCATGTGGGCCTCACCCAGCTTCAAATGAAAGGCCCTCAAAAATCTGCAGACACTTCCTGAGCACCCCTAGACTTTCCCGAGGAAGGAGGCAGCTCCTCACACCAGGCTTCTGCCTCTGCCGGGCTCCCTAGTTCCCAGCTGTCCTATCTACTACAGACTGAAATCTGGCACACTGGCAGAGGCCAGTGCCTCGGGTGTGTGAACCAACCCCACTCAGCATCCCGGGATGCTGGAAAAAGTCTCAGCTAGAGGGGGCTTTTTACATAGAGATGCATTTGGGAAATCTGAGGGCAGGCCCAGCACAGGAAGTGTCTATACTGAGACAACCAGGGAGGGAGAGGGAGAGACGGCAGGTTAGTGTGGTAGAAAGAGCACTAAGAGAATGTGAGGGGAGAGAAAGCAGGAGCCAGGGCTCACCAAGTCCGTGCCTACCTCAGGGCGAGGTGGAGGGTTTCGGGGGAGGTGTGTGGAAAGGAGTGGGAGTGGCGGGGTTCACTGCTGGGGCTGGCCACTTTCCATAGTCCAGCTGCAGCCACTGCTTGGAGCAGACCAGCGCCACGGGCGGTGTTACACCAGGACCTGGCATTGCTAGACAAAGCTGACATCTGGTTTGCTACAGAGGGCTCTAAACCCAGTGAGCAGGAGACAGGAAATGGCAGGCAGTGCGCTTCCAAAGGGACAACAGGCCCGGGAGTTGGCTAAAGTGGAAGGGCTCCCAGCAGTCTGGGGCTCCCAGACACTGCCACCCAACAGCTGAAGCCACAGCAAGAGCAGTGGGCACTTCCTCCCTGAGCCACTTCCAGTCAAAGGATAGCACAGGGCCACAGGGCGGGTAACCTAGGATCACTGCACCTCAATTCTGTACCTGCATAGCCCTCGCTTCAGACCACACCCCAGTGTGTGCAAAGAGCTGGCTCCTGGGGAAGGGACTCTTTCCAGTCCAGAGACTGCCTCCAGTGAATTCCAGTGTACACATGCCAATGCACACGCGGACACACACATCCTCATGTGCACACACGCACACATTTCAGGGCATGTGTATGTGACAACATACACACATGCACACATTTCAGGGCATGTGTATGTGACAACATACACACATGCACACATTTCAGAGGCTCCTGGAAGTGGCTCCTGCTTCACACCATGTCCCTCCAACCTCTCTCCAGGGTGTATGAGTGTGACTCTGGCCCCTCAGGGAGGTTTCCATCAGGCTCTCCCAGCTTCCAGCAACTCAGGGTACATTGAGCCAGTGGGTGTGAGAAAAAAAGGGGAGGAGGAGTCTGGATACAGGGGGATGAGGATCAAGTGTCTTGAGATAGCCCCAACCTGGATCAGCCTGTGATCCTGGAGCTGGAGAACAGATATGTTAAGCACAAGACAAAGGCACTCAGCCCTCTCACTTTCAGAGGACAGAGCTAGACTTCCAGAAAATTCCAACGGCAAGTTTCCTATAAAGAGTAGAAATTGGACACTGGAAATGGAGGGCTAATCTCTGGGGAGGACCCTGTTCAAGGACAGTGAGAAAGACCCTTGGTGCAATATTAGAGTATTCTGATGCCCCCATGAGACAAGATGCTGCCCTGTCCACATGACTGCTGACAGAATTGGTGACATTAAGCTAGCTATCTTGGCCCACTTTTCCTGAAACAAAGACCCCTAACCACCAGTCAGCTGGCCCCTCACATGGGGTCAGGGTCAGACACCAGTCAGCTGGCCCCTCACATGGGGTCAGGGTCAGACACCAGTCAGCTGGCCCCTCACATGGGGTCAGGGTCAGAAACTACACTCAGGTATGTACACTAAAGCAATTTTTGCCGAGAGGAGGCAACTGTGGCTTACTCGTATCCCCCTACCATGAAGCCCTGTCAAAGTGTACTGGCCCCAGCTTCCCAGAAGAAGGAGCTGGGAAGTGGGCCCAGGAAACCTTGAACTTGTGGGAGTCCTGTAACCTTGTTCCTCTCCTTGATCTGACCTGATGACCTGAGAATCTGCAACCCTTTCACAGGGTTAGTTCTCTACATCGGGTGTACAGATGGACTCCATGTATGATGGACTCCAAACTACAACCTCAGCAGAGCCTCCTGTCTTCCCACTGGTCACAAAATGTATCCTACACTATAGATGGGCTGGGGAGACGGCTTGGTGGGCAAAGCACTTACCATGCAAGTGTAAGGACTTGAGTTCAACATAAAGTTGGGCTTAGTAGCTCACCTCTAACAACCCCAGACTCCGAAGGAGGGATGGGAGGTGGGAACAAGAGTCCCCAGAACCCTGCTTCCTAGGTAGCCTGGTGTGCACAGCACAGCGGCGGAAATCCAGCAGCTCTAGGTCGCAAGCAAGGTGGGAAGACAGAGCTGATACCCTATGACACTATGAGGGTATACATCCCATTACTTCCCGGGGTGCCCTTCCCCACCAACCCCATTCTCCAAGTTCCTGACAGGACACTATGTGTCCCTCAGGATGCAAATCACACTAAACAGCACAACCTAGCTTCTAGGCCCTTTCCCTGTGACCCCCATCTCTGTACCTCACAAACCCCTAAAGTATCCTCTGATGACAAGGACTGTATTGATATGGTACAAATCCCAGCCCACTCTTTGCAAACTTGATCTCGAACTCCCAGCTTCCTCCCCAGTTACAATCAATCCTTGTATTTGCCAGGTGTTTGGGGAGACTCGCCTGAGACCAGTCCAGCACTATAGCAGCTTGGCCAGCCCACACGCTGAGCTCTTAGGAGACACTCTGACCCTCAGGTTTCTGAGTCACTCAGTGTTCAGTCAGTGACACACCTGCTCGCTGGACTGTGTTCATTCCCTCACTCTCACTCGCTGACTCACTGGTGCTTGATCCAGCCTCGGGTAGAAATTACGTAGCAAGGGCTGGATGGCCAGGAACACACACCCTGACCTGCACCAGGCAGGAATGTAACTGAACTTTCTCTCGGGCGGCCTGGCTTCTCTCAGAGCAGAGCCAGAGCTCCTGCACACCTAGGAAATCCCAGGGAAGGAGTGGACCAGGAAACCAGAGAGAAGGGGAGGCCAGCCTCAAAGGTCAGTTCTTCAGCTGTCCATGGTCGCAGAGGCTTTGTCTCCAGGGAATCTCCTGTGCCTGCACCGATATAGGCCTCCTTTGCAAAGCTGCTCTCTGGGGGGTGGGGAAGGGGCCCTCCCTCTACCCTGCCTCACTGGAGACACCCGGGAGAGGATCGAGAGAGCTGCAAGCCCACCTGGGCACAGAAGGGGCTGGAGAGGTGAACAAGAGGCAGATGCTTACAGTCCCGTGGAGAAAGCTCTGCAGTAGACAGAGTCCTTCAAGTGCTTAGGCAGAGACTGCAGAACTTTCCCAGACACTCTCCCGGTCGTACTCTCTGGGGGACTGAGGGTAGGCAACAGCTGGCAGAGGCTGCGAAACCATGGGAGCAGGTGAGCTCTCGGGTGTGTCCACATGCCAGGCACAGGGCAGCACCCCATCCATGGCTGGACAGGGAGGGAGGTGGACCACATTCCTTCACTGTGCTGGCCCTGGTTGGAATCCCACTCCTACCTCTCTTGTGCTTGTGATGCCAGGGACATGGGGATCGATTTAACAGGTACCCAAACAGTATAACTAGGGAAAAGTGGATGGACAAAAACATGACTTCCAAGGTGACGGTGGGGGGGTGGGGGAGGGGGAAGTGAGGGTGGGGGAGGGGGAGATGGGGGTGGGGGAGGGGTGGTGTGAACACTGCATTGCCTTTTCCATTCTATTGCTCTGAGAGCTGCCAGGTTCTCTTAGTATAAAACACTCTCCCACTTGGAAGGTGATCAGCCTGAGCCAACTGAAGGCACTGGTTGGCCAAGGACAAGGTTTCCTTTTGTATGAGGGGCATATACCTAGTCCCCCATTTTCAGAGTCTGTTTCAGGCATGGCGCGAGGTTGCTGAGTGTTACCCCCAAGGCCACACCTCCTATGTGCCACCCATGGCTCAGGTAATAAGAGCAGACTACATGTACCAGATGGATGCTCAAGTGAGAACATGAGAACATGCCATCATCTCAACACTAGAGGAACCTCTTGGAGGATCGCTCAGGATACTGAATCTTCTAAACTGTTTTGGGGGGCACTCGGACAGCTGTGGTACAGGAACCAGTGGCTGTGTGTGGGTGGCTGTGGGCAGAAGGCAGATCTATGGAGTGTTAGGAAGCCAGTGACTACAGACAAGACGGTAGGTCTAGAGCCTCAGGAGATGGTCTGCTTTTCTGAAAGGCATACTGTTTTCAGGCTGGTATGATGGGTAGCTCACTGAAGCCCTGAAGCAATCACGTGCAGATTTGTAAGGAGTCCAGGTAACCTCAACTTTTGTTTATTGTTCTTGGAACCCATATTCCTTAGCCCCTGGACACCCCAAAGTACACGTTGCCCACCTTTCTTGTTTCCACTGATGTGGTCACTTCACATAGCAGAAGCTGGGCATAAATGACCCAGTGTTACCTGTTCCATACAAGGCCAGAGTTCATTCCCAGCCACAAATACTTAGAAGGGAGATGGGAGTCTCCAAGCCTGCATGGCAGTTCCTGGGAAGGACACTGAACTGCTCCAGTACAAAAGCTCTTGTCTTTTCTGAGGCTACATCTCCAAAGTCCAAGGAAGGCATGGCACAGATCAGAATGTTCTTGAAGAACTAGGGAAATAATGAGATGGCATGCTAAGTAAGGGTAGGGGTTACAAATTACAGGAAAGAGAAGCCACACTGCAATCTGTAGCATGAGTTATGCAAGCCATAGTGGCTATATAGTATGCCTCCTAGGGCAGGGATTAATGCCAAAGTGGACTGCTTTGCCCAGAGTCAAGTGAGACAAACAGGAAGGCTTTTCACCTGCCTGGACCTCGGTCAGGGTTTCCTGAGACAAGACGATAGCATCAAGAGCCCAAGAGTACAGGCAGCTTTGTTCCTTGCTGGGAGTCTCCTGTGCTAATGACGTCAACAGGATAGGCAAGGTCCCTGGAGCTAACTGGTTGGCAGGTGCATGGACTTCAGACACTACTCTTACCCCAAAGCCCAGGGTTTATTTGTTTTCTTTGAGATTCTAATATAACCTGAATAAAGCTTTTCTCCTGGCAACTCCCAGACATGGGATTCTTTCTAGAACACCAGAGAAAACAAGATACAAAGGGAGGTTTTGGGCGGCAAGAAAGCCAGCAACAGAGACAGCAGAGACTGCTCGGGGCCCTGGTCAGTAAATCACTGGTAATCTGACTGGCACTTGGCTGGACTCCTGTGAGTCTGGGATTTTAGGTAGGTCCTGCAGGACATTGATAACTTGTCACCACCACAGCAGACTGATAAAATGTCTGAGCAGGTACACATACATGGTCAGCAAAAAAAAAAAAAAAAATAGTTACGCTGACAGTAAAGGCCTTATCTGCAGAATACACAGGGCTGGAGAGATGGCACTGCTGCTCTTCTAGAGGACCCGTGTTCAATTCCCAAAACCACACAGCAGTTCACAACTGTCTGTAACTCCAGTTCCAAGGGATTCAATACCCTCACACAGACAGATCTGCAGGCAAAACACCAATGTATACAAAAATAAATAAATTTTAAAAAACTATCAGGGCCCACAGACCCTTGCAGCCACAATGCCCTATGGCGCCACCAGATGCAGGAGGCATAGGCAAAGGGAGACGAGAGGAGACATTCAGTATTCCTGAACCCTGTCTAGCCCCTGGGCAAGGCAGTACCCCACACCCCAAAAGTTTGGCCTGAGGTTCCCTAGTGCCATACTGAATGATGGTTGGGCTGTAAGTAACATCACCATGGAACGATCGTGACTGTGTCACTACTCACAGCTCAGGTATGGAGGGCAGACTTTAAGCACCAAATGAATGCTCAGTGGCCCAGTTCTCACTCAAGACCACAAGAGCAAGTCATATGCTCCACTCTGGGCTTCTCTCTCAGGGAAAAGCTCTGAAGATATTGATTCTTCTAAACTGTTATTCTTTTTTAATGTCTTCTTTGAGAATGTCACATATGTATACAATGTATCTATATCATTATACAATATATTTATATCATTATCATTCCCACTCTTATATTCCCCTCCAATTCCTCCTGGATTCCTCCAACACATACCCTCACAGATACATATCCCTCCCTTTTTTAAATGACCCATTGAATCCTTATCAGTCCTGCCCATATGTGCATGGCTGTGGGACTATCACCAGAGTATGAGCATCCTACTGGTGGCCACACACCCCCAAAGGATGCCTCTCCTTCTGCTATAATGGTCTCTCTTCTGTGTGTTTCTCCTCTAATGGAGGAAAACTTTGTGGGCTTGAATAGATGTAACAGGGTAACCTGGCTAGATACAGCATGTTTAACATGTATGACACATCACTCACTCAATGTGCATACATGCACATGGAAGCGTACACACACATGAAACCAGGTAAGCACACAAATATGCACACGTCCACACAGAGACAGACACATACAGAAAGAATTTCGGGTGTGATGTGACATCACACACAGATACTTAAGAATACACATACACACACACAAAGATAGGCATGGAGACACATGCAACATCTTGAGTGGCTTTGCTGATTTGTCAACGATAGCACAGAGTCCTGAACTGTGTGCACATGTGATTCAGGCAAAAAAGAAAAAAGGCCTGTTTGGAGTCAAGGTTAGAGACTGTAGGGAGATCTAACAAGGGTCAGAAGATGGGTGGGGCAGCTTAGCAGTCACAGAGACCTTGAAAGCAGAACGTGACCCCAGAAAGACCTCTTTTCTTCTTCCTTGGTTCCCAGGGAGCCAGGGCCCTGATGAGTGAAGCTGGACTAGGTAGTGAGGGCAGCCCCAGGAGGGTGCAGGGAGGGTGGGAAGGCGTGAGCCAGCCTGGGCATGGGTGACTACTCTCTCTTCTTTTCTTCTTCTTCTTCTTCTTCTTCTTCTTCTTCTTCTTCTTCTTCTTCTTCTTCTTCTTCTTCTTCTTCTTCTTCTTCTTCTTCTTCCTCTTCCTCTTCCTCCTCCTCCTCCTCCTCCTCCTCCTCCTTCTTCTTCTTCTTCTTCTTCTTCTTCTTCTTCTTCTTCTTCTTCTTCTTCTTCTTCTTCTTCTTCTTCTTCTTCTCCTCCTCCTCCTCCTCCTCCTCTTCTTCTTCTTCTTCTTCTCCTCCTCCTCCTCCTCCTCCTCTTCTTCTTCTTCTTCTCCTTCTCCTTCTTCTTCTTCTTCTCCTCCTCCTCCTCCTCCTCCTCCTCCTCCTCCTCCTCTTCTTCTTCTTCTTCTTCTTCTTCTTCTTCTTCTCCTCCTCCTCCTCCTCCTCCTCTTCTTCTTCTTCTTCTTCTTCTTCTTCTTCTTCTTCTTCTTCTTCTTCTTCTTCTTCTTCTTCTTCTTCTTCTTCTTCTTCTTCTTCTTCTTCTTCTTCTTCTTCTTCTTCTTCTTCTTCTTCTTCTTCTTCTTCTTCGACAGGGTTTCTCTGTATCATTTTTGAAGACAGGGTTTCTCTACTCTCTCTTCTTTTCTTTCTTCTTCTTCTTCTTAGACAGGGTTTCTCTACTCTCTCCTCCTCCTCCTCCTCCTCCTCCTCCTCCTCCTTCTTCTTCTTCTTCAGGTTTTCTCTGTATCATTTTTGAAGCCTGTCCTGGAACTCACTCTGTAGACCAGGCTGGTCTCAAACTCACAGAGATCTGCCTGCCTCTGCCTCCTGAGTGCTGGGATTAAAGGCGTGTGCCACCAACGCCCAGCTTGTGGCTCTTCTTTCCAAGGTGAGTCACAGGCACATGACAGGGCTCTCCAAGGAGCAGGCCTCACAAGTAAAGGTCATGTGTTCCTGAGCAGCTTTGAAGGTGCCTTTTGCAGACCCTGAAGGCTTCTGGGAGAGCCAGGAAAAAAGTCTCTACTCTTGGGAGTGGGGAGTCTGCTCTATGTGCAAGGATGTTCATTCCCTCTCTCGAGCCCTAGAAGGCAGGTCACTGATGCATCAAAAGAGCAAATGTCCTGAGCACAGTGCATTGTGTGAAGAGGTTGCTCTGTGCCCTGACAACAGTCTTAACCAAACAGCGGCTATGCTGCTTCCGGGGTGTGTGCCCCATCTGCTCGGTTATCTCTCCTGGCCCAGCCGTCCCTTCATCTAGCAGCATCTGGTTGTAAAACAAAAAGGAAAGAAAGCTCGGAAGCACAGTAGTCACAGAGTTCTCCTCTGCCCCTCAGGTGAAGTCTTATCACCGGGGCTGGGTTTACCATGCAGGCAGAGCAGCAACTCCAAGGGAAAAAAAGCTGTTATCTCCAGGCCTGACAAACCTGTTGCTGGCTTCTGGCTTAGGTCAGGGTGCGCTGTGTTGGGGGAGAGGGGGCTAGATTTGTCCTGATCCAGGCCATGATTTAAAATAAAATATGAAATTGCAAACAAATACTGAAAAAAGAGACATATTCGGCTATTCCAGGAAGGGTAAAACAGGATGCAGTCATCGGTGAGCGAGCAGGTGAGTGGGAATAAATATTAATTTCACAAGATGATCTAACAATCTGGGTTTAGTCTGAGTAAGTCCGTGTGGAGATCTCTCCATTCTTCTGAGCTGGCACCACATCAGGCAGCCCCAGGAGCCTTGTACAGGTCAGCACACGCCTAAGTGCTAGTCTAAGCATGGAGCAGAAAGCTAAAGCTTGTGGAGCTCACTGCCCGGTGCTTACTTCCCTTCTCTCATGCTGATGGCCTGTGGGAGGAACAACGCAAGTATGCTGGCCAGAGCCGGGGATGAGGGTCTCAACTCCTAACCACCAGAACCACAGACAGCATTCTGGAGTTCATGGGGGTCCAGATGTGGACACTGGCCCAGGAAGGGGCAGATGACATCAGTTGTGGCCTTGGGCCAACACAGACAAGTGCAGATATACACTAAAGTGCTGCCACTAGGGCTCTGTTGTCCCCTTGAGTAGAATGTGGCTGGCAATTCCATCTCATAGTGTGGCGCTGAGCAGTAAGCTGAAATAAAGTATGTACAGAGCTTCTGGGCTACCAGCAACAGGGAAAGCTTCAATGTCACCAAAATGGTGACACCATTAACTGCACTGCACTGTGCTCCAGAGTCAGCCAATGTGCGTCTTAAGTCCAGAGCAAAAGGGCTCTGGCCAAAGGGCTAGTGTTCCTGGGATCCCACACACTACCAGAAACTGGGCACAGTCTATAATGTAAAAAAGAGCAGACCATCATGAGGCGCTCCCGGGAGATATGATGGCCAGTGTGACTAGAGGGGCAGGCCTGAGATGTTTTCCTTAGGGGCGAGCAGGAAGAGGGGAAACAGTCCCCCCACTATGGCAGGAACATGCTGCCTCTGTGTTGGCCCATGCTATATGTTACGTGTGTGTGCTTAGTAACATGGCAAAAGCAGTACCCAGTAGGAGCCCACAGAGCGGGCCTTGGGTATAGTCTGCAGGGAGGACAGGAAGAGAAATGTCCTGCAAACAATGCATTAAGCACTGAAGACAAACACATGGTATGAGAGGAGCCCACGTGATACTCGGCTGCATAGGAGCACATGGCCCTTACTTGTGAGGCCTGCTCCTTGGAAAGAAGAGTTACCCATGCCCAGGCTGGCTCACGCCTTCCCACCCTCCCTGCACCCTCCTGGGGCTGCCCTCACTACCTAGTCCAGCTTTACTCATCAGAACCCTGGCTCCCTGGAAACCAAGGAGGAAGAGGCCTTTATCCTGGGGAGGTGTTTGTAGACATCATAGCTCAGTGCTGGTCTGGACATCATGGTCTCTGATCATGTATGAAGTAGGAAAGGACATCATGATCAAAGACAGATACTGTGCCAATTTGATGCTCAAAACATAACCCTCTTTTTACAGCTAAATGCAAATCCAAGGTCTACCCTGCCTCACCTCCAACACCCAGCTATCACACAACGCGCATCACAAAGACTCCCACAGCAGCACTGAAGCTCGCCCTACCTGTGGGCCCTGGAGGAATATTTTCTGGCCTTTTGTCTCTTCCTGTTGCCTGGAATGTTCTTGGACACTCACAGAAATATTCTGCGTAAAGATGGAGCTATAAAAATGCCTTCGATTTAAAACCACATTAGACTATGTGAGTGAGTGAGCATCACTTTCCCAACAGCCAGTCACTGTGCCGGGCGTGTCCTAGGAACTTTAGACTCACCTTTGTGGAGAACAAGAGGCGAGTCAGGGAACCCTCTGGGCATAACCCTTATAACAAGGGCTACTCATGAAGCCAACTTAAAAAACAGGAAGCAAAATATACATCAACTTCTAAGTTCTGAAAATCACATCTGTGATGTCATGTTAAAATGACAATCATAAAACTGAACAAATGGTATTGGAAAAACTGGATATGCACAAACACAGACCTTTGCCTATGCTATGTGTAAAAATGCATGAGCCGGAGTGGTGGCAGGATCCTCGGCTACTCGAGAGGTTGAGACAGGAGAACTGCTCAAGTTCAGGAGCTCCAAGCAATACTAGGCAATAAAATGAGACCTGTCATCTCAAAAAAAAAAAATCAAAGTGGATGAAAGATCTAAACCAAAGAGATAAAACCATAACAGTCAAATGAAAACAAAGGAAGGCTGCCTTCATAAGAACAGACTTGGTGATTTCTTTCTCTTTTTTTTTTTTTTTTTTTTTTTTTTTTTGGTTTTTCGAGACAGGGTTTCTCTGTATTGCTTTGGAGGCTGTCCTGGAACTTGCTCAGTAGACCAGGCTGGTCTCGAACTCACAGAGATCCACCTGCCTCTGCCTTCCTGAGTGCTGGGATTAAAGGTGTGCACCACCAACGCCCGTCCAGACTTGGTGATTTCTTAGTTATAACACTGAAAGTAAAATAAGGAAAGAAAACATAAGCTGGGTGTGATGAAAATGAGCAACTCCTCTATGTCAGAGGACACCATAAACAATGAAGACACCCAAGAAGTGACAGTAAGCACTTGCAATCCTGAGTCTGATAAGAAATCCTGAACACATGAAAACTTCTGCAGTCCTGCAACAAAAGCAACAGCCCAACTCAAAACTCCCAACAGACTTCTCTCCACAGCAGCCACACCAGTGGCCACTAGAGGCAGCACTCACCATCACGGATGAAAACAGCTACTATCATCAGTGGTCTATCAGTAAGACACATAGGGCAAGTGTTGACAAGGAGAGGATTGATGAGGGCTGCCTGCGTTGCTGCCGGTGAGAATAGAGATTGTGTGTAGCTGCTCTGTGGGCAACAGTTTGCCAACTCATCCACAAGTTAAACATGGACTGGGAAGATGGCTCAGGGGATTAAAAATTAGCCATGAAAATATGAGGACCAGAACCTGGATCCTTAGAACCCATATAAAAGCCAGGTTGGGGGTGGCAGTTACCCGTAATCCTTATTACTCAGCAAAAAATCCTTACTACTCAGGGGATCTCCAGGGCAAACTGGCCAGCTGGACTAGCTGGAATCAGCAAACTCCAGGTTTGGGGATTATATATATATATACCCACCTCAATATATATGGTAGAGACCAAGGGAAACATCTAACATCAACTTTAGGCCTCCAAACTCACACATGCACACATGCATGTAACCACACATACACACGCATGTGCAACCACATACACATGTGCAAGCAAAAACCGTTAAACATAGTGTTACCACATGGCCTAGCAATTTAATATATGCAAAAACAATCAAGAGCAGAGACTCAAGCAGACCTCTGTATATACATGTTCTTGGCAGATTTATTCACTAGTAGCTAAAATGGGGAGTGAACCCAAGTATTCAACAGCAAATAGAGATATACACTGTGGTCATATAAACATGGCTGAACAGCCATTAAAATAGTGAGGCTCTGGCACGTGTTAAACACACAAGAACCCTGACATTATACAGAGAAAATAAGCCAGAACAAGTGGGACAAATGTTTCAGCTAAATCCATAGACACAACAGAACAGGAATACCAAGGGCTGAGAGAGAGAGGCCTGCAGAGTGGGGAGTTATTTACAGGGTCATAGAAACAGAGAGTGGTGATGGATATACTATTGAATCCTATGTTTAATATATAAGACTTTACGTTAAATTTATTTTGTGACTTTGAAGACTTCTTTTAAAAACCTCAAAGGCAGTTTTTATTGTGTAGCACACTCTAACTTCTTGTCCTAAATCCCCACGTAAATCTGGATGTGAACATGTTTGGAGCAGAGACAGCCGAGTCTCAGAGATGGGACAGTTGCAACATTTGCAGGGCGGGGTTGGCCATACAAATTATTTCCTGTCCCCTGCCCCCGTCCCCCAGCTTGAACTGGGAAAGTATCCAAGCATCTTACAGTGGATACCCACCACTTCAGAGCTCACACACACTGTCCTGGTGGGATGCAGAGTCTGATATTGCATCCTATGCTACCCTAGCATCTTTACGTGGGATTACCCACGGGTCAGATAAGTCCTTCTGGGACACTCTAAGCAGCTAAGCCATGGGAAAATATAAAGCAAATGTCAGCGTCATGACTTCTTAGAAAATCAGAAGTCTTCAAAGATACTTGCCAGCCCTTTCTGTTTAGTGTAATGCCACAGCGACACACACAGCAGGCCTAGACGAACAGGTGTAGCAGGTACTCTACAAACTTTTTCACATTGCTCTTTGGCCATGGCCGACTTGCAACCTTTTTGGGGTTTCCTTCTGGCCACAGACTTGTCACTTTATGCTTTAACTTCTGGTACATGGGTTGCACATCTCCATCACTAGAACTCTTACATAACAGACCTATGCCAGTCACATCCTATGAAGAGAAGAAACAGATCTCCAAAGCCATCCCCAGAGACATCACATGGCTCTGTGTATTACTCAGGATCAGCTTTCAGACCTGACAGAGCAGATTCTAAGGCTAGTGCTGATGACAGAGCCAGAGAGACTCGGGGGGTTGGAGTTGGTATAACCTGGCTCTTATTCTGCCATGGTTCCCACCTTCTCATAGAAGCTGATAAGAGCTCCTTAACTCTACAAACACAGGAAGCTTCTTCAGAAGTTAAAAGTATATGCATTTATTGCTTTCCAGCACTACCTCTGGTTTTTAAAGTCACTAGGGTTCAGTCCCTGCAAGGTATATGCTTTTATGCATATTTTTATTTTTTAGTTGAGTGGGTTTTCTTCAAGTTGCTAGGTACAGAAAAAAAGTTGAGGAAGCCATGCTCTCTTACACCGGCCTGGGCCCTTTGGTACTCCCTCTGGTACTCACAGAGGAAACCTGTGCATAGCAAATCTAGAAGAATCTGCCTGGGAACACTCGCCTAGAACATACCTCAGAACAGAAGGAATGATCAAGTCCTTACCCTCATGACCATCTAGTAACTGCCAAACCACATGGTATTCTAGGGCTGGAAGTTTCTTCTTATCTACATACATCTAGGCCTTTTTTGGTACGATATTAAATGAGTGCCAAGCAGAAAGAAGGTAATGGCATTCTGAAGTGTGTATTCATTCAGAACTGGACCTACAGAGCCACCAAGCACAGATGGGCGTACATCTGCCTCATGAATCTTAAGCTGCTTTAAACTCTGCTGAGTTTGTGCTCCACAACAGGCTGCCTTGTGAGAACCAAGCAGCCATGCCTTTTAGTTCTTCATTCAAGATAAAGTACACATCCTCTTAAAGGACAATGAAGTCACTCTACAACACCACACACAGGAAAATGGCTCAGCCTGTGTGCTGAGGCTGCCACTGCATGGGAACTCTGAGATTTACTTTAATTACAGGACAGCCAAGCTCACTATCCTGCAGTAACTTGCCCTGCCTTAAGAGAAGCAACTCAAAGAAAGAATGGCGTATGCTGCCCTAGATGAGATTCTCTTGAACATTTCACTATCTGTGACAGGGGCAACATGTTTTGTTCTGCCCTCTGATAGTGTGATGGCTGCACAGAGACACACGCACATCATACCACCCCCACACCACACACACACACACACACACACATCACCCCACACACCACACACACATCATACCACCCCCGCCCCCACACACCACACACACACACATCACCCCACACACCACACACACATCACCCCACACACATACCACCACACCACACACACTCACACACACACCACCACATACACACATACACCACACACACTACCCACACACCACCACACACATCACACACACCCCACACCACACATGCACACCCCACACCACACATACCCCATACCACACACACTACCCACACCACACATACTACCCACACCACACATACTACCCACACCACACACACTACCCATATATACACACACCACACACACCACACCACACACCACAGGCATACACCCACACACCACCACACACACCACACACACAATCACACACCACAGGCATACACCCACACACCACCACACACACCACACACACCACACACACAATCACACACCATAGGCATACACCCATACACCACCACACACACAATCACACACCACCACCACATACCACCCACACATACACCACACACACTACCCACACACACATCACACACACGTACACCATACACCACACGCTCACCACCACACACACATACACACACCACAGGAGTGCAAAGGCAGATGGAGGGCTTAATGGAATTTACGCTCGTATCTCTTATCTTGAGGCCATTTTCCCATACTTACTTTAAGTTCACAAAAGGTAAGAACAAAGTAAGGAAAGTGTGTTTTTCTACACAAATGACATAGTTAATGTACAAAGGACACCAACTTCCTAACTCCAAGATTGTATTTCACAACTTTATTCAAAAATAAAAAGAAGCACCAAAACAGGGATCAAATGCCCAATGTCATGTGAAATAACAAGCTCACCAAAAGGTTACAAAGGTAAGCCTGTGTAGTGGGGGTTATAGCTTCTTGAGAAAGAGAATGGGTTAATCATAGAAATGCTTCTGGGAAAGACTGATTCCATGGTAGATGGTGATCTAAACGCCCATCCTTAGAGTGATCCTATTGATGTGGGCAGCCTCTAGGACAGCAAGAAGCTACTCTGAGAGAACTCTGGAATAGTTTACAGGTGTTCACTGAGACCTTCCTGGAGAATACAACCTTTTTTGGTCATTGCTCTGACAAGATTAACATACCCTAACAAGTATGGCCTCCCAGGATGGAAATGCAGGATGCTTATCATAACATCACATCCATCTGTAGTTTGTCAAGGCCTACAATCTCTAACACATGACATACAGTGACATCTAGTTGTGAACACTAAGGTAAAGGGCCTGGGGAGGGGAAGGGGCACTGGCATTTTCACCAAGCCCCTGGTGGTCAAGCACACTTAAACACTGCAGTCCAGGGCACGGAGGTCTTCCAGGAGCTCCTGAGCTGCAGTCTGCAGGTGGGAGTTGCGGCTCTTGGACATGGCCAGGATGCGCTCCAGGGGTAAGGAGCTCCGGAGCTCCCGGGCCGCCTTGGAAAAGACCTCTGGTTCTAGAACCACAGACTGGATGAGCCGCAAGGCATGAAGGCACACTTCTGCATCTGGATCTGGGGAGAGGAGATGCTCCTGGTTAAAATCAAAGCCTCTTCAGGAAGCCACCCCTGAAGGGGTCTTTCTCAAAGACAGGTCTGACAGCTGAGAAAGCTGTGGACCAGTCCAGAAACAGAAAGCCTAGCTTGCTACGTTCATGACTGAATACAATCACCATGTTTAATAAACAACCATCTTCAAATGTCATGATTATATAATTTAAAACACTAAGCTAAAGCATAGAGGGATGGCTCAGCAGTTAAGAAGAGCATTTGCTTTTTCAGAGGACCCGGGGTTCAATTCCCAGAACCCACATGGTGATTCACAACATCCATAACTCCAGTTCCAAGGAATCCAATACCTTCCTCTGACCTCCATGGATACCAGGGACATATGTGGTACACATACAGACAGACAAACACTCATACACATAGAGTAAGTCTTAAAACCCACTAAACTAGAAATCCCAAGGCTTCTAAGGGGTTTGATGTGTCCCCTGAGGTTCCCATGTGGAAGATTTGGTTGTTACTCTGGGGTGTTCTTAGGAGGTGGTGACAACTTTAGGGAGCAACACTTAATGGGAAGAATTTAGGTCACAAGAAACATGCTTTCTAAGAGGGTACTGAGACCCTAGCCCCTTTGTTTGTCACTTTGTTTCTGAGCTGCTGTGTAAACAGACATATCCTGCTGTCACAGCCTAAAGCAGCAAGGCCAACTGAACAAAGACTAGAGCATCTCAAACCAAGAGCCAAAAGATACCTTTTTTCTTTTAAGACACTAATCACATTTCACAGAGCTGCCTAACATGGGCTTCCTGTGTTATTTGCTAGACTGCCTACTTCTACAACTGTCTTCAGAGGTACTGCCTCTCATGTTCACTCCAAGTGCGGCAAAGCCCTCAGCAACAACACAGAGTCTACTCAGGGCCTTTGAGATGGACAACATCACAGTGTCTTTGTTACTATTCTATTGCTGGGAAGAGACACCATGACAAAGACTATTTACAAAATAAAGCATTTCTCTGGGAACTTGCTTACATTTTTCCAGGATCGTCATGACAGGAAGCTTGGCAATGCAGGCAGGCATGGCGCTGTAGCAAAAGCTGAGAGCTCACATCTTATTTGCAAGAAGGAGGCAGAGCCTGGCGTGGGCTTTAGAAGCCTCAAAAAACCACCAATGACAGGCCTCCTCCAATAATGTCACACCTCCTAAGCCTTCCCAGACCTCCATCTGGGAACCAAATGAGCCTGGGGGGGGCATTCTCATTCAAACCACCACACATAGGCTACAAGATCAACAATGTATTCCATTACTTTCCAACTGAATTCCCCACAGGAGTAAGAGAACCTGGAAGCCCTGCTTATGTTATAACAGCCGCTGAAAAATAAACCAAATTAATAGCCTAAGTCAAAGCTATAATCTTAAAACATGATAAACTCTGAACGTTGATGTGGGATGTCCTTCTGTATGCTGCAAATATGTGTTGCTTTTATTGGCTGATAAAGCTGCTTTGGCCTATGACAGGACAGAATATAGCCAGGCTGGAAATCCAAGCAGGGATACAGGGAGAAAGAATGTGGAGTCAGAGGAGATGCCTCAGCCATGTGGCAATACAGAGATTAATATAAATGAGTTAATTTAAGGTATAAGAGCTAGTTAGCAATAAGCCTGAGCCATTGGCCAAACAATTATCATTAATATTAAGCCTCTGAGTGCTTATTTTATAAGCAGGACACAGAAAAGCTTCCAGCTACAGATGGTTTCTCTCTGGTGGATACCCTGTGGGCTGAGGCCTGTATCAGGAGTCATGCTTACAACCAGCACCTCTTTCTTAACAGTGAACACTCTCCAAATGACCTTCAAGAAGACTTCTTTCCTAGAACAAAAGGGGGAATTATAGTTAGGGAAGGCTAAAGTAAAACCTGACAGGGAGTCATCCTAAGCCCAGACACTGGAGTCTTCCTGTTCTAGAAGAGAGGTAAGAACTGTGAAGATACAGGGTAGGGTGGCTGCCGAGGAAAACACCAATATTACATGGAAAGCCCCACATCCACACACAAGTAGACAGTAGCAAAGTGCAACAATGTAGAACTCCCCTACCATGCTTCTCCAGAGCCACACAAATACCTGGTAACTACACCTAGGCCAAGGACAAAATGAGAACCCTAAGGCAGGGAGGGTCAACAACTACAGGTGGAGACTAGCAACTCGGCCCTCCCGCAGGGCTGCAGACCGGACTAGAGGAATCTGACTCCAGCTAGCAAGACAGAGACCAAACATTACAACAGATCCAAAGGCCCACCCCCAACTGCCCCCAGAGGAACAGGAAGCATGGCATCCCCAGGTGTAAGTCCCAGGTCTCTACCTTGCTCTCATACTCCTTCAGAGGAAGTGCACAAGCTAGGAAACCAAGGGCACTCCACAGCCTACTCCGTAGCCTGCTGTGTAGTATAATAGTTTCAATATATATATATTTTTTTCTCGAGACAGGGTTTCTCTGTGTTGTTTTGGAAGCTGTCCTGGAACTCACTCTGTAGACCAGGCTGGCTTTGAACTCACAGAGATCCGCCTGCCTCTGGGATTAAAGGCATGTGCCACCAATGCCCAGCTAGTTTCAATATTTTTAAAGATTTTATTTTTTAATAATGTGTATAGGGGATCATGAAGGGGTGATGGGTTTTGTCAAAGGCTTTTTCAGTATCTAATGAGATACACTGACAAATTTTTGTATATTGAACAATCCCTGCAGTTCTGGAATGAAGCCTACTTGATAATGGTGGATGATCTTTCTGGTGTGTTCTTGGATTTAGTTTTCAAGTATTTTGAGTATTGTTGTATCAATATTCACAAGGGATATGGATCTATAGTTTTCTTTCTCTTTTGAGTCTGTGTGATTTGGATATTAGGGTGACTGTGACCTCATAAAATCAATTTGCAATGTTCCTTCTGCTCCTGTTGTGTGGGATGATTTGAGGAGTACTGGTATTAGCTCTTCTTTGAAGGGGAAATAGAATAGATTTAGAAGGTAGCCTGGGGATATGTGGGTATGGGAACAAGAGGGATTAGTGGGGGGCATGGGAGGAGAGACTACTGGAAGAAACAACTGGAAAAGGAGACCATTTTGAGGTGAGGCAGAAACCTAGCGCAATGGACACTTCCAGAAATCTACAAAGATGACCCCAGCTAAGACTCCTAGCAATAGGCAAGATTTCCAGGGAAGGGATTGGGATACCAACCCAGCCATAACCTGTGATCTACAATTTGTCCTACCTACATGATGTGCTGGGGTAAATTAGGTGGGACAGAAATCATGGGAGTGCCAACCAAAGCAATGAATGCTGATCTGATTTAGGCTATGACTGCTCTGGGATGGTGGAATGATGGAAGACTCTTTTCCTTTGTTACCAGGAGTCAACAAGCAATGTTGAGAAATAAGAAGTTTCTCATGAAGGCTGTCACAGGGGAATCCTGAAAAGCCTAGCCCCAGTACCCACTAAGAAGCAAGCCAAAAGTGTCCACAGGGCATATGAGAGGGACCAGCAGGGCTCTAATATGGAAATAATAAATGAATTTGCACAAAGCTTTTAAATAAAATATGAATTAATTTAATGAGGATCCTATTTCTATGCATACATTCTGTATATTAGATTTCATATTCCAAATCACATGCAAATTAACTTGAGACTATGCAATGAATGTATAATAAAAAGTCTTCTAATCACCAAAAAATAATTTCTGTTCACATATTAGTAATAGTTTACTATTCTTTTTCAACCATTAAATGTGTTTAACGATTAAAACTATCCTGAAGGAATCCAGCTGGCCTTTGCCCTCATCTGAGACAAGGCCATGTGTTTCAACTGCAACCATACTTGTTCCCACCAGGACTTCTAGACAGTGTCCAAACGTTCAGGGCACACCTGTGCAGTCACCCTCCTCTGGGATCCCTGGCCACTTAAGAATACAGTCAGGTCCAGCAGCAGCCCGAGCCTTGTGCTTCCAAACTTCAGAGAACAGGGGAAAGCTGAAGAGCCATCCTCCAGAGCCCCAGTTCACATCCAGATCCCGTCTGCCTTTTGCTTCCTTCCAGAAGATTCTAGGGACCAGCTGCTGTTGCCACATGCCTGCTCTGCCTCACACTGCCCCTTTACCTTCCAGTCACACTGCCATCTTTTCACTCCCTGAGGCAGCTCCTCTCAAGATCAGCCTTGATCTCCACATCGCTACTGCTCAGTTCTTATTTAGTGCTTTGACACGGATAACCCCCGGCCCCCAAATCCCTGAAGCTGACTGGGGAGACCTGTGCCATGGCCTCTGCACCGTGTCTTCCTTGCTGGTCCTCTTCCGTGCACTTGCCCCTGTCCTGGTATCCTTCTCTCCCCTTTTTTTCTTAGGTGACCTCACCCATGGCAAGTCTTCAAATCCCACATGCTTACCAGTGATGCTCAACTTTGTTTCTCTAAACCTCCTCTCTCTGAATTCTGAATTTCCTATTGACAAACCTTCTGGAAAGCTCACCTTGGGTGCCTGATACCATATCTACTTGCACAACATCAAATTCCAGCTCACAGTTCCCTGGGCTCCTTCCCAGTCGCCCACAGACAGAGATGCAGGTGCTCACAATCTCACCCATCAGAAGTCCTGCCTCCTCTTCTTCCCAGCACAGACTACAACGTAAATCCCAGCTAGATTAACAGAAAAACTCAAGTGGTAAAGGCCTATTTCCCTAAGTTCCTTTTAACCAATAAAACATGCCCCCATACAAAGCTGTCAGAATCAAAACAGAGTACTGGGTTGATCTGTCAATCCCAACTAAATTAGTCAATAAAGCTTCAATGGTAAAAGGAGGGAGGGGTCTCACGACGGTGTGCCTAACGACAAGAGTCATTCATAGCAGACTGCTGGGACCAGTTTTGCACTGAGGTCACTGTAGCCTTGCCCAGAAAGTACTTTTGCAAGGACAGCCTCCCAGCAGTATGTTGAACCTTGGATTGTCGTCACTGTATTGATCCTTGTA